GGCGTCTAAGGTAGGTTTCCATTACAATGCCTTACTGATGGGTCCAGTAGTGGAAACCGGGACGAAACGCCAACTCGTGATATTCTTCGCAATGTTATTTTTCACAGATTTAGATTTATCTTTACTTCATCATTACATCGTTAAAAAATTTAATATATGTCTTTCAACATATTATTAAGATCCAATAAGATGCTATAAGCATCAAAAATTGTTAGATTGCTTGTCAATTTAACTAATTGTAAGTGATATTACTGCTGTAGTAAGTATGTATGCGTCAATGCTGAAAAACTATCAGCGTCGCGATTTATGGGGGACTACATACGCAGTATATAAAATTCACACAATTATAATAAGCACTGTGATACAGCTTCGACCGTAAATGGCTTTCTTCTTCTAGTTTATTATTTCTTATATATCACATTTCTTAAATTATTTTTTGGAATTAAATCTTTATGTACTTTGACAATTGAATCTAACTTGTTAATACTATTAAAAGATACTTTTGCACCGAGCTCTTTCTTGATTCTTACAAATTCATCTGATATATTAGGTATATATGGTATCAAAAACCAAGGTTGTATTACCTCCGATTCATTATTAACATTATTGTTTGTCTTAAATTGATTTTTAATGAGTGTCCTTATCTTTGAATTGATTGTGTTAAAAATAAAATCTATAGGATAGTCATTATCTAAAAGAGTATCAATTATATGAGTAAAATTTTTTAAATGGAACTTAGGATCAGATGATAGAAATGTTCTGTCAACCATGTTGATAATAACTCCTCTTTTTTGTGAAAGTGGATGTGTTGATAAATAATTCAAATATATCCCTGATGATGTTGGTTTTCTATATATATCTAATTCTAATAAATTGTCATTTTTAATAATAATGGTATCAAGAAATTTGGTTACCTCCTATCTCTATTGTAAATTGTAATCTTTCATGAAACGAATTAAATGCATTTAAAATATCATCAATCTTGTTAATGGGTACCACCATGACTATGTCTTCAACGTAACGGAAGTAAAAATCAAGTGAAAAATTTAAACTATCAAGAGCCTGTGTCTCAAGATTTCTCATAATCATATCCACAATTATCGGCGACAAAGGTGATCCCATGGGGGTCCCGAATTTTTGTTTAAAAAAACAACCGTTAAAACAAAAATAAGACGAATCTAATATCATTCTTATGGCATTCAAGAATTCCAATTTTGTGATATTAATTACATTTTCAAAATAATGCCATCTTTTATCTATACTTTATCTATCGCTTTATCAATGGGTATATTAGTGAATAACGAGACAACATCAAGTGAGATAAGTATACTATCTGATCTTATTCTAGATTCTCTTAATTTCTTAACAAGTTCAAAACTATTGTCTATATTACTTTGTGATTTTGGAACAATATCAGCAATAATTTTATGTAAATGAGACGCTAAATCGTAAGCCGGATTGTTAACAGAAAAAATAATCAATCTAAAGGGATGATTCAATTTATGTACTTTTGGTAAGGCATACGCTCTAGGTAAATTCCCTTTACTGACATAAAGTTTCCTATACATAGCTTGGTCAATAAAACCTTTCTTTTTCCATTTTTGAAGTACTAATTTAACATTATTAGTAAGTTTATTCCTCGGATCTTTCATGATTTCAACGTATGTATTCTTATCTGATAACATGCTCGAAACTTTGTCAATATAATTATTTTTATTCAATGCAACAGTTATATTTCCTTTATCTGCTTTAGTAAAGATGATATCTGGATTGATTTTAAAAAATTCTTTAGTTTTTTTAATTAAATTCTTAATTATAATATCAAATTTATTAACATTCCTTGAAACATTGAGTTTATTTGTTAAAATATTCAACGAAATTACTCTTATTTTATTTATTTGACTGATATTAACCTTACGAACATTATTTTCTATACTTTTGATAAATTCAAGTAGAGCTGTCTTTTTATTATTTAGGAAAACCGAAAAATTATCTCCTAACAAACATTGTATTTTATCAGGAATCGTTGCATTGGATAAATTTACAAACCATTTACATTTTTTATTCTCCAACGAACTGCTATTGTTTGTGATTATAAAATCTGGATCGGAAATAGAGATCGGAACAAATTCTTTAAATTTTCTTGACATTTCGATCATCATTAAAGAGAATAACTTAATTTTCGATTGGTACCCAAAAACCCAATTTTTCCGGGTAGATTTCTTAATTTTTATTCAAATCATCCATTATCACAAAAGAAAGGCATAATCATTAGTTTAGTAGACAGAGCGCTAATATTATCACATCCAACTTTCCATAATAACAATTTAATTTTTATTATAAGAATTTTAATTGAAAACGATTACCTTCTAAAATTAATTTTTGATTGTATCAAAAATTTTTTAATAATTTTGTCATATCTAGGAGATTCAAATCTACGAAAGCACTCTATTTCCTTGACTTATATTCTTTCGATAAAAATTGGCTAGAGACCAAAGGATTTAATATCCTCCATTTTTCAAAGGATACTAAAAAAGGGTTAATTTTTGCTCAAAAAGATATAAGTGAAAAAATAGTATATTTTTAAACATTAACCTTCTAAATAAGATTAAAAATTTCATGACATTTAAGAACATGTTTTTGAGGCTTTCACGGGTATCATCTTCAATGATATTAGAAGGTTTGTGAGTTAATGCCGTGTTTTTATCTATTGCTAATGTCAACGTTTGATCGTTTAGAGAATACTAGAAATTAAGCAAGAATATTGAAATTTGAAAAATACTCCATATTTATGCTCAATTTTCGAAGTGTTCTTCAACTCTACAATCTTTTTAATAATTTTGTCATATTCGGGAAAAAAATTTACAAAAAAACTGTTCTTTTTATTTACATCCTTTTATGCAGAAACTGGCCCCTTTTTGAAAAATTCTCTTTTTTATTACATATGAAATAGGTCAAATGTTCAAAGAGTTTATCATAACGAGAAAAATGAAAAAAAGAAAAAATACATACGTAGCGACAAATTTTTATTATTGAAAGTAGAAGGCAAACATAAATGATATGAGGGCAAATCAATAAGTTCTTAGAAAATCTGTCAGAGAGCACTCGTAGTGTCATGTCACGTTACTTTTTGACAAGTAGCATCTTTCAGCTGATTACTGTCAAATTTTGAACGGAATTCATCAAAAAGATTCATTTCTGTAGACGATTAAAGCGTACAACCTTTGTATTTTTTGCAAAATGGAAAGAAACGAGTTTCGTGCAGTGATCAAACATCTATATATGAAATTTTTAACGCCGAAAGGAATCAAAGCCGAACTAGATAATGTTCATAGCACATCTGCACTAGCGTTTGCGACTGTACAATTGGGTGAATGAATTTAAAAGTGATCGTACATCCACATGTGATGCATCTCATTCGAGACGTCCAATTGAGGCTGCTACGCCAGAAATCATCGATAAAGTTCACGATATTGTTTTGACTGATCAACGAGTGAAAATGCGCGAGCACTTGTTGAGGTCACAGGCATCATATGGCACAGTGATTTCAATTTTGCACGAACAATTGGATATGAAGAAGCTATCGGCAAGATGGGTGCCACGTTTGTTCACTGTGGATCATAAGCGCGACCGTGTGACGATTTCAAAATAATGTTTGGAAATGTTTCAACGTAATCTAGATGAATTTTTGCGTCGATTCATTACTATGGATGAAACATGAATCCATTACTTCACACCCGAGACGACGGAACAGTCAAAACAATTGACTTCACCGGGTGAATCAGCTCCGAAGAAGGTGAAGACCGTGAAGTCGGCTGGAAAGGTGATGGCCACAGTTTTTTTAGGATGCGCGGTATAATTCATATCGATTCATACCTTTCGTCGAAGCAAACGATCAATGGCGATTACTGCGCAGCCTTATTGGATTGTTTCAAAAACATTTTAAAGAAAAAACGTCCTCATTTGGACGACGAAAAAAGTGCTCTTCCATTAAAACAATGTACGGGTTCTCACGTACCCGGCATCGATGGCCAAATTCAACGAATTCTGCTATGAATTGCTTCCCCATTCAGCATATTCGCCAAATTTAGCCCCCTGCGACTATTTCCTGTTTCCAAACCTGAAGAAATGGTTCGGAGGAAAGAGATTCATTACTAGAGAGCAGCTCATTGCCGAAACAGAGACTTATTTTGAAGGATAGGGTAAATCATATTTATATATATAATAAATTATATTATTCGGTTGACTTGAAAAAGTTAGAGAATCCTTGGATCAAGTGTATCGAGCTGAAAGGAGACTATGTTGAGAAATAAAAATAAATCGATAAAAAAAATGTGTTTTACTGTGTTTTTCCGAAAACTTATTGATTTGCCCTCATACAATTCTTCGAAGTCTAAAATGATGCTTTTGCTAGTAATTTTTAGAAAGCATATTTTTCGAAGTCCTCGGTTAATTTCACGAAATAATACCGATTATTTAGAGTTGTATAATTAGAGCATTAGTATTATAATATTTCGTTATTAATCGCTTAACACAATTATGTTTGTATTATAATAAAACTTTCAACTGCATTTTCAGTTCGCCGATTTACAAGTCGATCAAAGGGATGAAGTGAGTACTACTAAATGTTTTGTAATTTCTCGCGGAATTATGTCAGACTTTAATAAGATTTTCAGTTTACATTTTTAATATAAATACGAATAATTTTTTTGTACTCTGTCATTAGATAATTTTTGCAATTAGATAATCTTTACTTATAGATGAGGACGGAGCTAAGAAAAGCAAGAGCTGATATGGCTGAACATGCTATGATAGGTCAAGGTAGTCCTTTAATGCAACATATGGCACAAGGGGGCTCACGACAAGAACTACCAAGACAAGGAGGAGGACGAGGAGGAGGAGGAGGAGGAGGGCGAGGACGAGGAGGAGGAGGAGGAGGACGAGGAGGGGGAGGGGGAGGACGAGGAGGAGGAGGACAAGGAGGACAAGGAGGGGGAGGACGAGGAGGAGGAGGAGGAGGAGAAGATTAGACTCTGGTATATTAATTGTATTCTATTAGATGTACAAATTAATTCTCGGCCCATTCCTTTTAGCGACTCAGAACCCACTTAAATAAGAACTCACTCTTCATTTCTGTAGTTATTTTGCCATATATTAGCTTTAAAATTAGGTACAATACTTGATCTTTCTGTGAACATAACCTGAAAAATCAGTAAGAAACACGATGTCGTTCGAAAAGAAACATTTGAGACACTGCCATTTTTTCGCGTTTCAACTTTTAAAAAACGCAGTTAAGGCAAAAGAAATTATTTGTTCGGTTTTGAGCGAGAATGCTGTATCGTACAGTATGTGTAAAAAATGGGTCCAACAGTTTCAAGAGAGAAATTTCGACCTTGGAGATCGTAAACGCCCTTGTCAACCAAAAAAAGTGGAAGACGTGGAGTTGGAGAAAATTTTAAACAAGAATTGTTGCCAAACACAATTAGAACTTGCAAATACGCTTGGAGTAATCCAGCAAGACGTTTCCTATCGCCTAAAACAGCTAGGGAGGATTCACAAGGAATTCCGATGGGTTCCTCATGAGCTCACTCTCGAAAACAAAAGCAGACGCCACGATACTGTTCTTTCCTTGCCCTTTAGGTTCAAGAAAAAGAATTTTTTGCACAAAATTGGTACTTGTGATAAAAAGTGAACATTGTACGAGAATCCTAAGAGGCGAAAATCATGGGTCCGTCCAGGTGAGCCGTCAAAACGAACATCGCAAAACCGAACATCCATGCAAAAAAGATGTCGCTGTGCATTTGGTGGGATCAGAAGGACGTGATCCATTATGAGTTGCTCCGACAAGGTCAAACCGTGACTGCTGAGCTCTATCAACAACAATTGATTCGTGTAAATGACGCTCTTAAAGAAAAAACGTCATTTACGCATTGGAAGAAGGAAGATGATACTGCAAGATAACGCCTGGCCCTATACAGCAAAAAACACTCTGGAAATCTTCAATTTAGGCTGATAAATTTTCTCTCATGCGGTGTATCCTTCAGACTTAGCCCCTTCGGATTATCACCTATTTCGAGCTCTACAACATCACTTGACTAATTCTCGATGAATCGAGAGTCAGTTCAAGAGGTCGAAAAAAGCATCGATGAATTCATTAATTCAAAGCCACCATCATTTTTCCAATCTGGAATCCGGCAATTGTCTGAGAAATGGAAAAATGTATAGATAGTGAGTGAAATTACTTTGAAGATTGAGTTTTTATTCATGTTTTTATCAGGGAATGGAAGTAACTCGTTACTTGTAACGAAGTTACAGTTACAAGTTACTTTTTTGGTAACTTTACTGGTAACTGCGTTACTTTCTTTTTTTGGTAACTGTAACTGTAACGAGTTACATTTTTTGGGTAACGGTAACGAAATTTACAGTTACTTTTGTCGTTACTTTGCACACGATTAAACACGGTTCGATTGGATACATGCTATCTATAGCGCTTATCAATAAGACTTGAAAGCCCTTAGACATTCGGCCGTTATGATTCAGTAATTATTTTACACTTCTATCTTCTATGTAATACATAGGACATACAAATATTTCAGTTTGCTGCATATTAATAGATATTTTATAGATAATATTTTCATTTCGTTGGTAGTTATTGATTGTAACTTTTTTGGAATACGTAAATGATTAAATTTAAAATTGGTCGAAGCGTTTCTCTTATTTAGTTTTTAAAAAGGTATATAATATATTATATACAGATATTAATTAATTCTCAATAATTCTCGATAATTCTAATTAGAAAATAATGTGCATGTCACAAAAATTAATTTTGTATATTTATTTTGCAGGTCTCGTTTGGATACATGTATCGTTATGAAATACAGATAGATTCGGCTGGGTTCGGCTAAAGATTAACTTTCCCTTAGCACTGTAGGTATCACGTGTTTTAAATTATTCGCACGGATAAAAAAATCCCGGTAATTTTAGAGAGAAAATAATAAAGCTTGTAATTGTAGTAAAATTTTCATTATTGTTTAAATCAATTCTCCATTTATATTTCCTTATGTCCTCACATATTTCCTAAATGAAAACGATTCTCTTTTTATTTTTTATATAAGATATTTTTGTTACTAAATCTCTTTCTTGTTACTCTATCATATTATCTTAATATTTTTAAAGCTTTATTGAGCAAATAAAAATACTAATTACATTTACATTTTTACATACATGTACATTTTCGATAGTATATCGAACATCGCAAGATAAGTAGTTCGTGCACTTGTTTGAGATAAATTCTCGTTCAAATTATGTATGAAAATTTGCTCTAATTGTCGCATTATTTTACCGAAGATTGCAGATTTTTGAACTGATTGAAGTTTGGAACGTTCTTGGAACGATTTTTTCGAAACGATTTCTCCCATTTCTCCTTTTGCACAGAGGTTCCACTACATGCCAGACAATAAATAAAAAATACCCTGATCGAATACATGCGTCGGAAGCTACCCATATAGTCGAAAAACCACAATCGAAACAACTTAAAAATTTTTAAAAGATCGTAAAATGATTTCTCCCATTTCTCCTTTTGCACAGAGGTCTCTCTGCATGCCAGACAATAAATAAAAAATACCCCGTTCGAATACATGCGTCGGAAGCTACCCATATAGTCGAAAAACCACAATCGAAACAACTTAAAAATTTCTAAAAGATCGTAGAATGATTTTTCCCATTTCTCCTTTTGCACAGAGGTCTCTCTGCATGCCAGACAATAAATAAAAAATACCCCGTTCGAATACATGCGTCGGAAGCCATCCTTATGGGGGAAAAACCACTCTCGAAACAACTTAAAAATTTCTAAAAGATCGTAGAATGATTTTTCCCATTTCTCCTTTTGCACAGAGGTCCCTCTGCATGCTAGACAATAAATAAAAAATACCCCGATCGAATACATGCGTCGAAACCCACCCTTATGGGCGAAAAACCACCCTTGAATCAACTTAAAAATTTAAAAAAAAATCGTAGAATGATTTCTCTTATTTCTCCTTTTGCACAGAAGTCCTTCTGCATGTCAGACAATAAATAAAAAATACGAATTGTGCATTCGTACACAGTCTGACGCCATTGAAAACGGAGGAAGCGATGAGATTTCTGCGCTATAGGCATTAGAAGATATACGTTTTCTAGATCGCGCGTGATCATCCATGTATCTGAGATCATGAGTTGCACTGCAATGCGCCAATCTTTCAGCTGAAAATGCTGCAGGCAGAGAAAAAGATTAAGATCTTTAAGGTTTAAAATGCATCGCATTCCATCTGATGCCTTCTTGACTAAGAAACAATTAGATAAAAATTGATTCTCAGATGGAGCCGTAGGCACTAGGACACCCTTGGATAATAAACGTGATATCTCTCTGTCGGATGCGTCCGCGACGAGAGGCGAGAAAGTGGGCTTCTGTAGATTTGCACGAGGAGGAGGGGTGGAAACAAATAGAATACGATAACCATTAATTGCCTGGAGACTTCTAATTCTGGGTCTCCTGTGATCTTTTTCCACGATAAAAAGAAGGCTAAACGCCCTACTGTTTTTACTCGACCTAACGGTGGGACCGGGTCCTGGATCTGGAACGATGAGCTCAACTGCAACTCGTTGTTGATTTCACCCCTGTTCGGCGAGTCGAGGCTGGTGAATGACGTACAGGGGCCCTAAAGTTTGACGGTTTGGCTTGTAATGCCTGATGTATAGGTTGGTTATTGACCTTAACTGCTTTTATCTGGATCGTGGAAGGTTTAGATAATTGGCATCTTGCCTATTCACAGGCCTGCGTCGGCTTAAGGTTCTTAGCGAAACCTGATCCAAAGAACCAATCATCCGCCTTTTAAGCATCTGCTGCTAACTTTCCTACGAAGATGAAGCATGGCTTTATGTATACCTATCAAGAGAAAATTGATATTGGAGATCTGGTAAAAAATGTAGACTCTCCGAGAGTTTAACAATTATGTACTTCAAGGCCTCCTAGGGGAAAGATTGGTGAAATATCAATAGATCCGTTATACCTGATCCTAAAGCGTTAAGGCAAGCTCTGCGGTGGATCTGCCTCTTAAGCTGGTATTCATCTCTTTTTAGAAGAACCTGTCGCCTAGAGAGCTAACATCAACTCGTTATTGATCTTTCGAGGACCTAAAGCTAATAGATCTCCCTTGAGAACATATTTCGCAAGCAAAGCCTGTCGTGAGTCCTCTTTCAGGTTCTTACGTGTCTCAGCCTTTGTGTTACTTAGCAACTGGATCCCAGAACGAATCGCTCGTTCAGTTCTGTTCATCTCCAAAAAGCTCCTTTACCAAAGAGATTTCTACTTCCTCGAGGTTAGGAATTACCTCATCTATCTCCGGATCGGTAAAGGTCATTCTGAGATCCGATGTAGGATCCTCCAGATCCTCAGCTACAACCAAAAAAGAAATACGAAGCTCAAATGAAACAGTCGGCTATATTTTCTCTTCGTTGTAATGAGAAAATATACCTGGTGCACCGCCTCAGTTCATAGGAACCGTCTGCTCATCTGTTTCGAGCTCTGTCTCTCGTGAGGGATTCTCAGACGAGAGACTATTGTCAGCCGCAAACACAAGTAGGAGGGGGAAGCCCCGCATTTATTCCACCTAGTGCACGCTCGGTGATGTGTTGCTCCACAAAGGCAAAAATTTCCTTCAGTATCTCACCTAATGTTGTCTCTGACGGGTGATGAGATGAAGAGTTCCTCGAGATGTCCCTCGAAGATTGTGCTGCTGATGAGGTATCGCGCGAAGTGTCTCGAGACCTAACCTTAAACTGATTTGGATGTTCCACTCTATACTTAGGAACAATAGTACATTGCGTAACAGTGGAGGATATTTGTTTATTGCGCGGCCGGGTAAAAGCGCACGAGCGAAGCGAGTGCGTACGAGCGCCAGTGCCGACCTATAAACAAATATGCTCCCACTCGCTACACATAGAATTTTTCATTACAAGTGCTCGTCGTAATGTGCCCTATACAGCAACGTTTTTGCGCAGAAGAGTGGGATTAGAGAAATATCTCAACGGCTTGAGGTATTGGCTATTTACCGCACGCAAAAGCGTTAAGGTATAGGGCACATTACGTGCACGCGTGATGAAAATAAATTAACCAATAAAGGACTCTTTATATAATAATAATTAAGCAATGATGAAGGACAATTCAGAGTCAAATCATAAAAATGATAATGATAAAGCGGTTATAACTACATATAAATATGTGATAAAAATTTTAAAATTCATCAATCCACTTAAAACTACAATAGTGTCTCGTGCTATTTAAACGCACAGCGTGAGATTATGAGATTTTGTATAGAACAAGTATAAATACATGTACAAAAAATTAAGGATACAGGATTAGGTATATATGACTGAGTTATGTTAATTTAAAAATAAACATCAAACTTCGTTTATTTCTTTTATGTAGCATTCACATATTATATTTTGAGGTCTAGCAGAGTCAAGTTTTTTGTATTTTTACTTTTTGAAATAAAGTATATGTTATATATGTGGCAAGAAAATATATTCCTTTCATAATTGGCGTAATTTAAAGATTTCATTTTTTGTATACTGTAATAATATATGTAACGATATTTTGTGAGGTAAACACGCACACTTGGCGCTTTTTTTCCTTTTTGTAAAAAGGTAATTTTGTTGAAATTATAATTACAATAATGAAATATTATCAGTGCACCCTTCGCCCTGATGAAGTAAACGGCATGTTTCACGAAATGTTGGCATTAATAATGAAGAAAAACACGGCGATAACTCGCAAACCTTTCTGGTATAATTGATGAAAATACCTGTGAAAGCCTCAAAAGCGTAATAATAAAATAATATACAATTATAAATTTTTTATAAAACGACATCTCTCGACTACTTCTATAGGAGCGTCCGGTGAGTTTTATTATTCTTTTATAAGATTTATACAGAGTATCTCTCAAATCAGCGCCAACAATGCGATTTTATTTTACAATATATGTTCAGTTTTTGCGATGAAAATCTCACTCGAAAATATTCTCTTTGCAATTAATCAAAAAATATAATCGGAAATTCAATGTGAGATGTTCCGTGATGGAACACATCTGATGGTTGTAAGTTCACTTTGCTTGTTTATATGAATAATTAAATAAGATCAGATATAAGAGAAACTCGGCACGTGACATGTCCACGATTGAGAACCTCGTTCCTAAGTATTTTATTCGTCGATAAAGATGCGATTGGTATCGCGCGACGATTCACACGTGAGGCTCGCGCATTTGAACAAATCGAATGACACTCCGCGCGCAATTATCCCTAATCGCCGATCCGTCAAAGCGTTCCATTCGCGTCGCCCGGGAGAGACGGAATGAAAAGAGGCAAGATTCGACTTGCGGATAATCGATGAGACGGCATGAGTGACGGTATCCGCCGATAGTTTCTCGAACGATAACGATGATAATGAGGGGTAGACGAACGGTGTCGACTACGAATATTATCTTTGACCATATAAGAGTCTCCATCTACTTCCCTTCTTTTCCCTTCATGACTCCTCTTTTTACTTCGTTACGGGCGAATAAATCGACGAGGTTGACGCCGAAGTTGGGTTCTATGGACACACACAACACCGATAGGAGATCAGCTAACGTTGATTCACTATTACTGCGCGGAATGCGCGGACGTTGCTTCTGGGTGGTAATTAGCTCCAATCACGGTTACGGCGTCGTATATCTCGTAGTAATTTTTACACGCAAGTTAAAGTAGAATGTTACTGGCGGTCTCTCTGTTCTACCTTTACGTTAGGTATCCAGACTTTATATTCTTTTCTTTCTCCCTTCTATTCTTCTCGCTATCATTTCTCCTGCCAATGACGCGTGTTCCCTTCGTGAGTATAGTCTTTGATTTAAAAGGAGTTTTTATACATACTACCTACATATATTTTATACGTATCATTTTTATTATCTTTTTCCTGCGTTTCTTTACAAAAATTTATACACATAA